TTGCACAGAGCATTTCTTGCTGATTGGCTGTTGGGATTTAACTTGATTAACACCTGCACAGAGCATTTCCATACTGACAGTATGTCTTTATTCAAGTGTTTTGGTAGGTATTTCAAGCTTTTCTGCTCCAGCATTGGAATGCGGGGCATGGACGTTTTTTTTTTTATTTTGAAAATCAACAGTTTGCATTATGCAATTAAAAATCCTAACCAATAAAGTAGGGAATAGCTATCCAACTGTTGTTTTAGTTGTATTTTACTTCATATTATAGTTATATCAATGTAAATCATTGTTTTCCCTTGTGTTTCTCATTCTTTCCCTGCCATGTGGTAAAATGTGGTGAACCCATCGCTGTATTTGCTCCAAAGCAAATATTGGCCTTTCTAGTTTTATAGTATACATTACGTTTTATACGTTTTTTGGCATTTCAAGAAAGTTATGATACGCTCGGATATGGCACAGACCAGTCAGCGATAGATCGATCTATAGATTGATTGAAAAGAGTACATTGTCATTGATATAAAGTAGAATCTAATGCTACCCTAAGAGCCGTCGCGAGGCAACAGAGGCATGTACCAACACCCCTAGACCAATAAACACGGGAACAATATGCCTGGAAAAAAAGGGTGTTAGAGATTATTTACATACTTAACTTACCTAGCAACGCTCACTGGCTCGTGCATTGGAAGTGCCACTTCAATTTTGACTTCTTCTGTTGTAACAATTTGTCTGTTTCTGTTTTGCCATATCTTTTTAATATTTATTGTTTTTATATGGGCCTTTAGAATTCGAGTTTCGTTGACTGTTTGCTCCTATAATATGTATAGAATGTATATGTTGAACTACTATGTATTGATATTTAGACCAAATGGCCTGGAAGTTCGTTTGGACCGGATTCGGATGACCCAGTGTAAACAGGCGTTTAATTGCAATTTTGGCATACGCCACTATGAAATGAATAACTGTGTGAAGTCGTCATTTTTTACCGCAATTTTCAATCCCAACAATTCGTGAATAAAATGTTCCACGAGTTCGTGCTTCATGGATCATGTAACGTTAACTTCAGTTTGGTACACTGGCAAACAAAACGCTTGTTGCAAAACATGTATATATGTTACATGTTGATAGTTTGGCGTCAAAAAAATATTTGCGTAGGACAAAAATGTCCTTCAGGCAAAGGCAATGGACGTTTACACACCATATAGAACAAAACTGGTGATTGGTTGATGCTGCTTGACAGGAATCAAGAATCAAGAAAGTGCCCCCCTCCCCCCGTTAACCCACCTAAAGAGTCGGGTACATGTAATTCTCGCAAAGATAATGAGCGAATGTTGATAAGTACAATTTTGACGTACGGATTTCCTGCAGAAGGCTAGTTCTGTACCAAGTATACCTTACCAACAGTTTTTTTTTCTGCCTACATTTTTCCGCCATACAAGTTCTACGAGTACACTCTACGTTTACTTCTAATTCAGTTTAACAAATGTAAATCTGAAATGCATCGTGAGCAGGGCAGTCTCCTTCGGACGGGACCTCGTGTCCAGAGTCAGTTTGGAGTTGTAACCACCTCATATTTGTCTGTCGGGAGTACTTTATTGGAAAGAGGGCTATCTTTTAATTCAAGGAAAAGTCCTGCCGGCCAAATATAGTGATGGGACGCGATCACGTACAACACCTGTGTCTCGTTTGAACAGGTTGTTCTCTGACTTGTCTAAAGCGACGAATAGTCTCGCGGCGTGGAAGTAAAAAATTCTTGAACCATGATCATAGTAAAAATCCAACAATATCACGCAATTAGATTACCAAAGGATTGATCAGTGACGCTCTGGACTTTACTTTAGTGCCCATGTGTGGCTTTGTAATGTGTTTGTTTGTGTGTCTGTATACGTATTGTAATGTTAATGTTGTATTTGTACTTACTACACATTTGTAAAAGTCAGTGTTATTCAGCTTGTTTGTGCACTAGCTGCAAGGCTGATTTTTATGAATAAAACTTAAAAACTTGACTAGATTGCCAAAGGATTGATCAGTTCCCATACCTGATTATTTCCGCAAAATTTGCTCCTCGCTGGAAACAAAAAAACGTGTAGCCTTCCTTTCCAAGCCGAACGTAGTCACACTGGAAATGTCCAACAAAGTCAGGTGTAGAGTATAGTTAGACACCAGTCTTCTGTAGAGTTGTCGACGTCCTAAAGAGTAAAAAAAAAGATCCGAATATAGAAAAAAGAAGCGTCCACAATTCAGTCTGACCAATGTCCACAGTACGTGACTACTAGTAATACATGCGCATGGGTTTCTGGGAACGACGTTACTGTTAGCAACCTTCCTCGTAGCTGCTGTCTGACGTCAGAACAAAGGTTATAACCGGTATAAAACTTCTGCAAACGTAGCCTCCTTCGCAGTCTTGTTGGGCGTCGGCGTTGCCACGGAGAGAAGGTTTCGCGCAAAAACTCCCTCGGCAGCAAATCGTCCCTCGCGGCCGCATATTACTCGCGTCGCTCAGAGAAAAAATAACGCCGACGCCCAACAAGACTGCGAAGGAGGCTACTGCAAACGTACGTTGCTTGGTTTACTTGTTTGTCCGGCATGGCAAGTGTCTCACGGTTAAGTCCACAGTCCGTGCCTATTTAACGATTAATACATGGATCATGTTGGGAATCGAATTTTGCCACTAGCAACCCTCCTCCTCGTCGCTGACTGACAAACATAATGGCCAGCCTTACAAAGTTCTACAAACTTTTGTAAATTATTACAAGCGTGACTCGCGTGTTTGTCCATCTGCCGCTCTGGGCTTGAAGGTTGTGAGTTCGAATCCTGGCTTTATGTCACACCCTCGCTCCTAGAAATACAGTGGTCTTTGTACTCAAGTAGAACAGAGAGAGTCACCGGCGACTGACCGAACTTTGCTGAACGGCGAAATCTTGCTCCCTGTGAACGGGTGCTAACCAAGTCTCTACCAGACTAACTACGCTGGCTATATATAGGAGAATATTTGCCAGGGGAGTTTGGCCGCCTTGGGGTTTGACTGGCCGCGCCGGAGGGAAAGAAACAACCTTGGCTCCCCTGGCCAATTTTACTCTCCTTTTTGCCAAATTCTACGATCTGTATTCCCGTAGAAAGGCCTGGAGGAGGCTAGGTGCTCACCTACCTTACACTGGCATCGTGTAGACGTCATTTCATGTATGGCACTTGTAATATTTTTCTTGAGGCTCCATTTTAGACACGGAGGAACTTGGTTACGATGGGTGAGTGAAATTCACCGTGTCGGGTCAGACGCCGGTGTGGTCTGGTGTCTCCATTGTTTTCTAACCTTTATGCGGTGTCAGTATCATACAGTACATAATAGAAATGACATACAAGACTGTGCCTATAGGAAACTGACACGGGTTTGTAAGGGAACTCTTTGGAAAAGGATACTGATGTATCATCTTCAGTAATGGAGAATTTTGACCCAATTTTTACCCCGGGAAAAAAATCGGCCAGCGAGTGTAAGGAGCCTGTAGCAAATCGCATGGGACCCAGGCTAAATTTTTTAGCCAGTTCACACTAGTTTGGCGTACGACAGCAGTCCTACGACTGTTTCTTTTTACACACATCTAAGAGAATAGTCATATGACACCCGTTGCGCCACACATAATCCTCTCAGTTTATAGCATAAGGCCACACCGGCTTAATTTTATGGATGACATCCGCGCGCGCATTGATTTTCGCCTGTCCTAAAAAAATAAGATCACGTCCTCCGAGTTTCTGGCCTGGCTCTAGGCCTGGGTAGTCCATGCTAGTTAGTGAGAATAGGGAGCCGCGGTAACTCTGGAGGACGGCAACCAAGCTTCCGAAGCTCCACCACTGAAGATCTCAGTACATACAAACAGTGTCAATTCATAAACTCTGCAAAAAGCCAGCATGTGCCGGCTTGCCGTATACGTCGCTATGTACTGTCGCAAATATACAATACATGTACCAGCTTTGTTTCCTGTGGTTTAGTATCATTTTTAATTTTGGTCGGAATTTTTTCATTCGCCCGCGCGCACTAGTTTGGGGGTCTTCAGAGGATGTCATCCATAAAATTGTGTGTGGTGTGGCCTAAGGGCCTAGAAGTGCGGCCAGTCTGACCGAATAAAGGACAGAAAGCTTACCTATTTGGATAGTTTGAGCTTACTGAGTCATCGGACTATTTGTTTTGTACAATATACCGTTAGGCGTTTGTACATTGGCCGCTGCAATTCTAGTAGGGCGCTTCGTTTAGCTTTAAGCTGAGGTCACATTTCCCAACCACGGCCCGGCCGGGCAGTCTCATGGAACGAAAAGTATGATACAAAAGACAACAAAGCACTAACAAGTTTTTAAAAATTCATAATGGGAACTATTTGCGTATATTATTGATATAAATTGATGATTTTTCGTTAATCAAAACAGCCCGGCCGGGCCCCGGTTTGGATGTGACCTCAGCATTACTGTCTTCGACATGCCCGTATACAGTACTAGAAGGCAGTATAAAAGTAACGTAGAAGATTTGCTAGAGTACTAGTTGGTACGGCTAAATATGCGCACAGCCCCAGGTTCCCAGGTCCTGAAAATGGAAGGCGACAGCTGGCCATCGAAGCAGTTAACGTCGCCAAACCATTGCACCTTATTTGTGGAGGGAAATTCCGATTTTATTTTTAGCATCTCCGGGCAAAGAGAGAGACTGAGCTGTACTCTCTGTGGATATTAACTGTGCAGATATAACGTGCTGCTAAGGTAAGAATAATTTGAAACATAGAAACATCATCTTTAGTTTTACACCTATTTGACTTTTATGTGTGCATGTGTAATTTGTGGTGGTAATATGAGAAGTGAGAGAGGAAGTTTGTGCAGCCTGAAAACATGGGTTTGTGGGAGGGGGGCTGCCCGTCAGTGACACCCGAGTGGTTATGATGTAGGGACGGTAAAATTTTATGTATAACGGATGTGTGTTTGTTAGCATTGCAACTGAAAACGAAACCTGCATTCTTATTGTATAGATTAGAGGCTATTGTTGTATTGTTCCATGTCGTACAGGCCGACGTGCCTTAGCTTCGGCGTCAAATACTAGTATGTGAATGAGTACTAGCAGTACATTTATATCATGCACTTTTTGGCTGCTACGCTGGATTATAATTTTTTCTCACATGGATACCTGTGTTGCGCTATTAGCGACCTCTTTGCTATTTCTGTTCTTTCACTCAAGTTTCAACTTTATTTATTTTACCAGGGAATACCTCAGATCTATTGATCTGCTTTTCAGACGGTATTCCTGGAAAAAACGTACATTCATAAAAATTACAAATCAAACACAAAAATATACAAATTAAAAATGTTACAAACTACAAACATATATCACTTTCTACGTACTCAATATGATACCCACAATGATCGTTCATCTTTACATGTGATATGTGTGGCATCGTAGGCCAGAGGTCATCTCCAAGGACAAGATGGCGGACAGAAAGCGTCTGTACAAGGTGCCCAAGGAGACGTACACGTTCTGCGGGAACCAGGTGGAAATCTGGGAGGAGCTGGCGAATTGTGGAGAAGGTGCAACCGTCTGGGAGTCGGTGAGAAGTTCATCATGCTCTTCATCTTTTGAATCACTTACGTATATGTATATACTGCACCTGCTAGCCGCTAATTGTTTTCTCTACTATATGTAGTAGTAGTAGATTGGTTTATTATTGTTGCTTCACAACAAACATTTACAGTCTCGCAGTGTAAGTAGTAACTCGCACTGAATTGAACTGGTAAACATTAATATAACAGGTAGTGACATAATAACATATTTAAAATACAGGTAGAGATATCACGATTAAAATCACTCGTTACATATAGTCGTGCCAATTATTCATATAAAAGTTATGACATATCATATTTAAAATAGAGGTGGAAATATCACATATTAAAATCACTATATTACAAATAGTAGCAGCACAAGGATCTATAAACTAAATCAAAGTCAGGTAACAATTATGAGACTAGTAGTTAATCAAGCGCGTCATATATGGGACAGCACTGTTTCTATATCTCTCCGTTCCGAAGTACAGCGCTGGAGTTCTAAATTATTAGAAAATCGAGTTTGACGGCTAGTGATAGTCTGTCTGTGAGGTGGCAAAAGGTGGCGGTAGTGACCAGATGTTAGCAACTACTATAAACAACTTCAGATCCTATAGTATCAACTGACATGCAGTGTGCTTCAATTGTAGGGTCAAACATGTAGGTTCAATGGTCCAATAGAGAAAGTGACATGAACCAAGAATAAATATTTTACATTTTGGCATGGAAAACTTTCATCATTATCTGCTGTGTGTCCGCGGTAGAGATTCAGGCTGTGGCTCTTTTTAACGGCCAAATCAAGTCTTACGAAACGACAACATCGATCTGCCTTGCAACGTTAAATTTTGCATTGCCCATGACGTGTCAGTCATCTGCGCTATGCCAGGTATGTCGGTCAAGGGCTTAATGCAGTTCTTTCTAATCTCGCTAAGTGGCGTTTGTAAGTAGGCCAAGATCTGACGCGCACGCTAACACATGCTTGTCTCTGCAGGGTGAGACTATGAGCAGGTATCTTGAGCAGTCCGGGCTGGACCTGGAAGATAAGGAGGTTTTAGAACTGGGCTCTGGAACGGGACTGGTCAGCATCGTGGCAAGCTTAATGGGTAAGCAATTTTCATAATCTTTGCTTTGTTTTAGTTAGGTTCAGCCAATGGCTACGCCAGAAAACAGACACAATTTTAGCCGGCACATTTTACAACATCAGATAGATCTCACTATAAAAAGTTTTCTTTTAATACCTGGCGAACACCTACGTAATGTAATTGCATGCAGCATTCCGTGATGCAATTTTCTCAATTAACAAAGATTTGTCACAATTATTCACCCGTTTCCAGGCGCCAAAGTCACGGCGACAGACCTCGGGGAGGTGCTGTGCTGCACCAAGGGTAACATCCCGAGGAACACGGAGGACAGGGTCAAGCACCGCCCGGTCATCCGCAGACTGGAGTGGGGCAGCGACGACCTGGACGGCTTCATCCCGCAGTACGACTACGTGCTGGGGGCGGACATCGTCTACATCAAGCGCACGTTTCCCGAACTCATGCGCACCATCATGCACGTCTGCGGCCCGCAAACCACCCTAATACTCGCCAACAAGTTCAGGTGGTACACCGACGGAGAGTTCTACGAGAACGTCCTCAGCAAAAAGTTTGACGTGGAAGAAATTCTCTACGACGAGGAAAACAAAGTGAAGGTTTTTCGCTGTAAAAAGAAAACCGAGGAAGTGTAGCAAAGTTTGTGGATTTTACAACTAGATACTTTTCCGGAAACCATGATCCAGTTTTAGAACCGTCATTTGGTCTCGATCTGTACTGCCTACGGGAGAGAACTACGATTAAGGAAGAAAATGCAAATTTGTGTTTTATTCATTTATTTATTATCATAATTTACGATATAGTGATCATCATCACTATTGCACATTTCAGTATCTGGAACATCTTCTTTAATAGCGTCTATCTGTATGATATATTGTTGCACACTTCGAGTTTCCCTCCATATTTACTATATTTATTGATCTTTTAATCTTGGGACCAAACAAGGATAGTGTTTCGATAAGGAAAATTGACCTTATCCGAAAAAAATTTGTAAGTTATATATAAAACCCCAGAATGTAAAACTAATATAGGAGAAAGACTAGTGAACGAAAAATATATTACAAGCTCTTCTGCTTATTGATCATCGATCAAATAGATTAGTTTTGCTCCCTACCAATCATGGCACTGTACTTAAGGTTACGCCAGCGTTTTCAAGATACTGTACATTATACCGACGGTCTTTGGGCTGTTGCATTTTCAAGTCACACAAAGATATTTGTGCTGTAGTAGGCATTGCTGATCGCGTCTCTTATAAAGAATTACATTTGTAATTAAACAAGAATTGTTACACTGCTTCACTGGGTCAGTCTATTGAGGAAGACCAGAGTGACTGGTCGAAAGCTCTAGGTGAGAGAATTTTTTGTGTTGGACCAAAAGTTTTAACTTTAAACATGTAACTACCAACACAGATGAACTTTCATGATAGTATGTTGACGGACTTCAATAAAAACTGTCGAATCTATGATTCTGTAGTGGATTCACAACTGTTCATAGTTTGCTAAATCCTGAAGGGGCTTGCACTATAAACGACTGAACAGCGCTAGCTGTGTGGTTGTTGGAGATTATGCATGTTAGCATGTTCTGGTGCAGAAGAAGACAAGAACGACAGAGGGCGTTGTTAGGGCATGGCAGACGACGTGACCAGGCCTGGACGTGACGGAAATATGCGGGTTCAAAATTCCCGCGCCTGACCTTTGTACCCCTTGGATACGTACCACTATTGAGCGGGTTGAAGGTAAGTCATTATTAATGCATTGTCTACATCATTTGGCACTTTTTATGAATAAAATATCAAATCATTCATAACTATTTGAGTTGTATATTTCAATTATCTTTTATCAATATAAGGTTAACCATAAATGTGTAACGTTATTTTTTGTTATCCCTATTTAAAAGTCAAACATTCCAAGATGGCGGAACTGGAGGAAATTTTTCTGTGTTCTTGAGAAACCATCTCGTTTTTCGATGTGTAGCCACAAATTTCAAGTGTTAATTTGGATGACATCGTGTTTTTCTACTGACTAAAGATACATTGTTCCACATGACCGTTCATACATGTTACCATGTGAGATAACGAAGGTGCAAACTGTAAGTAAACGTCAGCAAGTTCGTGGGGAGGGGGGCATAAAAATATGTTTCGGGAAATTTGTCATTTCTTTTGTATATAAAAAGTTGCCCCCTTGCGCTATTTCCTTGTACGGACGATAATTTCACCCTGTTATTTCTGCCTGGGAAACATTAAAATCTCCCAGAACCATTGTTACAGTTGATTCTATTTGCTCTACCGACAGTTTTAAGTGTTTTCTGAGCTTCTGGACCAATCAAACGCCATGTCTTACAAGACAGAGAAAGAAGCCTTTGTCAGTAATCTGAACGGCACGACGGTGACAGAAATCGCGCTCATCAACGCCTCCGCCCCGCTGGCCGTGCTGCTGAGAGCCGTGGTCGTACCCTGGCTGTTCGGGCAAGTCTACTTCAAGTTTAACATTGGGTAAGAATATGTAGAGGTTGTCATCCTTGCTGGGCTAGCTAGTACTGGAGCTGTGTTACCGGTACTGTTTAAAATAATGTTGGTAATACAGGATGTCACAAGTCATTATCATTTTGTTCCATCCTTGTTACTGTAAGGCCACACCAATTTAATTTGTTGCTTCTCGGATCGCCGAAAAAAAACAACCCTGCAAAATGCTCAATGAAAGACATATTTTGACCCCAATGGTTGAAGAAAGTCCTTTTCTTCCTAGTTCTTAAGGTTTTTCAATGTAGCAATGCAATTGTTTCATTAAAAGTTTAAAATCTATTGTTTTAATTATAAACCAGCCTGGTATGTTAACTTCATGCTCATATTGTAACATTTCCGACTATCATGGGGTGCCTTGGCCTGTTTTTTTTTTCACCCTGTCACTTTATATTTTTTGGAAAAAATCTGAGAAACAACAAATTAAATTGGTGTGGCCTAAGGGGTGGTTATATTTTTTGTGGTTTTCGCAGTGATCACCACTCCACCACAAATTCATGACACAGAGAATATATTCTCCCTTAGTTGTATGTATTGTACAAGAGAATTTTTTCAATCACAAATTTGAAACACCACAAAACCCCTAGGCCTTCTTTCCATCCTTCTGCAAAATGAAACAACCGTGAACATAAATGAATTGCAGAACTAAGTTAATAAACAAATACTAGGATGGTACATAATATTAATAAGTAAACATATAGAATAGGTTCTATCTTGATGATTCACTCTTTCCAATGTTATTTTTTTCAAGCTTGCATTGTGATTCCTGCTTATGCTAAAGCCTTTTCCCATATTTTGTCCTTCTCTTGTACTTCACATGTTTTTGTTTTTACTCAGGTTTAGATTTCTGGTGGACTTCTGCCTACTGGTCCTTCCCACCATGCTTTGTGTCACCATCCTGGCAGACCATACCATCGGGCTACTCTCAGGGGGTGTCAGCATGGTTCTCAGCTTACTTGTCTTCAACGACAGACACAGCAAGCCTTCAAAACCCCCTCAAAAAACCCAGAGTGTATCCCTCCAGACAATTTTTGAGAGAAAACTGTCAGAAAAGGTGCCCTTTGTTACAAACTACAGGGCCTTTGCAAATATTGCCACGGCGGTTTGTATTTTGGCGGTAGATTTCCACATTTTCCCCAGGAGATTTGCGAAGGCGGAACTATACGGTACAGGGCTGATGGACGCTGGCGTCGGCTCGTTTGTTGTATCCAACGCCATCGTCTCTCCCGAGGCCAGAGGGAAATACAGAGCAGCAAGGTATGATGGTTCTTTATTTATGTTTACCGAAGGAAAACATACTGTTTTTACTCAATTTCCTCTTCTTCTTCTCCAAACACTAACCTCTGACCTTGCCAATGACATGATTTGTTGACGTCTGTCACCGTGGTGACTGGTGTTGGGTTACATAATGTTGCAATTTCATGGTCTGCTCTGCTCCTGTCACCATATACTAGTAGTACATGTATGTGAATGTGTTTGAGTAAAAATTAACAGGGCAGACCATGTCCGAAGGTAAACATTATGCATTTGCTTTGCAAATGTTACTTCTCTAGTTATTTATTTATTTCATCTTATAAACACCTGGGTAGCCTTTACAACAGTAAAATTGTTGATTTCCAAAAGGGCCCAGGAACACATAAACAATATAAGATGATATTTCTTATGATATTTTATGAACTGTACCAGAAGTAAATGATGTAGATTTATGGAATTTCATCTAGAAAAGTATAGTCAAACCTGCCCAAGCGGCCACCTCTTCAAGCCAGTACAGTCACCTGGCCATAACAACCACCTTTTCGTAGGCACAAGCATTTAGTGACCTACAAAAAGCAGTGCCACCTGTCCAAGAAGACCATTTAACATCGTTCCCTTCGGTGGTCTTCATGGGCAGGTTTGACTGTAGTTGAAATCTTGCATATAGATGTTTGTACATATGTGTATGCTTATTCGTATGTAGATAGGTTGCATGTATAATACGCATACCTCCTAACATACATTTTTACGTTGGAAGATATACATATTCTTACAAACTACTATTACATGTGTATACAACCATTTGGTCAGCTAGCGTTTGGGATATCTATATACATGTATACCAGGGTTTTTCAGCATAATAATAACTGTTTTATGTGAAATTTTCTAGGAGTCTCTCGGGAAAGCTATCCAACATTGCCCAGTCCGTCAAGTCTACGGCCCCCCTGTGGATGATTGGTTTGTCCCGTATGGTGGCGGTGAAAGCGTTGGAGTACCAGGAACATGTGACGGAGTACGGCGTACACTGGAACTTCTTCTTCACTCTAGCGGTGGTCAGGGTAAGACTACAGTATGACCCTCCAGTCAAGAAAGGCTTTCAACATTTCACACACACACCAAGATTTGAATTCAATGTTCATTGCTCTGCTTACCTCTTAAAGAGCCTAGTACATGTTCAAGACTTCTTTCTTAATTCTTTATTCTGTTGGTCAATATTGTAACAAATATATCCTGTAGGTGTGGTGAATTGCCATACCTAATATCCTTATGTCTATGTTTCTATCATTATATATCCTCTACAGCAAAGGATCTGCCAATTTTGTAATCTAGATTATATTGAAGATGAATGCCATTTTGTAGTTGACTGCACATTATATAGAAATGAGAGGGATTCCCTCTATACTTATGTAATAGATAAGTTCCCAAGCTTTAGACATTTAGATAGAATAGAAAAATTTGAATTCCTCATGAAACTTGACAAACCATGTATCATTAGCTCCATATGTTCGTACATCTTTAACTGCGTCAAGAAGCTAGAAGAAGCTGAACCTGTAAATAGTAGATCGCATTAGTTTATATATTATATAAGTGTCATTACTGTTTTCTTTTCCCTGTCTACCCATGACCTGTACTTAGCTCGTTAGAGCACAAGCGTACAATAAAGGTCTTTCATTCATTATTTTGACCTGTGCATGTACAATAGATTGACATTGTTTTTTTTTCCGCCAGGTTCTGTCAACAGCAGTGCTCCAGTTTGCCGGGACTGGCATGAGTGGCCTTCTGTCATTGGTCCTTGCAGTGCAGTACCAGTTTGCCCTGTCCAATCAGGGCTTGCAAGACTTCGTCCTGCACGGTTCTGATGGTAGGGACTCACGTAGGGGTTTCCTGGATGCCAACAGGGAAGGGATCTGCTCCTGCTGGGGGTTTCTGGCAGTCTACTTTGCAGGAGTGGAGCTGGGGAGGTTCATCTTTAAGAAAAGGTCAGGACCTTAAAGATTAGGGTCATGAGTGAGGTGAAGAAGCTGTGCCTTTAAAATGGTTAGTTGTGAGATGTACCTGTAATACATGAGATATACCTATAATACATGAGATATACCTGTAATACATGAGATATACCTATAATACATGAGATATACCTGTAATACATGAGATATACCTATAATACATGAGATATACCTGTAATACATGAGATATACCTATAATACATGAGATATACCTGTAATACATGAGATATACCTATAATATATGAGATATACCTGTAATACATGAGATATACCTGTAATACATAAGACATACCTGTAATACATGGGATATACCTGTAGTACATGAGATATACCTGTAATACATGAGATATACCTGTGAACACATTGACAGAATGTACTGCACCTGTGCAAAACCCATAATGTATTGTGCATAGCACTTTGGCAGAATGTCTCACTTAAGGGCATATTCACATATTTAAGGATGACATCCCATCTATAGTTCTCAAATGTGTCGGAAAAGTTATTTTCTGCTATGAGCAAAATTTTGATGCAACATTGACCAATGAAACCTGAAATATCTAGGTTTCATGCAGCCACAGTATGTCCTCTGACATGCTAACACAACATGCCTTTCATCAGGACTTGTTTGCCATGGAAATATGTACATTAGGCCACAGCAAGTAATTTTTATGGATGACATCAGCGCACGCATTAATTTTCGCCTGATTTTGGAAAAAAAACAAGAAATTTTGTTGCCTTCTGACAGTGGACACCATGCCGAAAATGTGCAAAGATGCATATGTCTGTTGACAAGCCAGAAGGTGTATGGCAGATAACTATAAAGAGAGGAGACAAGAAAAGGCTCTGATTTAATGTTTTGTTTCTTACTTTGATGCAGTGATATGTGATGTTGGCTGTGTATATGTGATGTTCCCAATGAATCAAAACCATTTATACAATGATTGAGTCAAAATTTTAAAATGTAGTAACCTTGTTTTTTTCGGCCCACCTTGTTTTTTTTCGCCCACTCGCATTAGATTTGGAATCTGTGGAGGATGTCATCTATAAAATTTACTTGCTGTGGCCTTACTGGTAGTCTAGATTTACCCCGGTGACCTAAAATTCTAAAGTCTTTCCAACAGGTCCACAGTGCAGCAGTGGCTGGTAGCCTGTGGTCAGCTGCTGGTGACCTGTGGTGTGTTCTGGGTCCTGCTGGTCCTGTGTGTGGAGCATGTGGAGCCTGTGTCCAGACGCACAGCTAACCTCCCCTACCAACTCTGGATGGTACGTTCCAACCATCAAATGGTATACCTGGCAATAGTGCTGTGTACCTAAACCCATAGCCTGACTAATCGCGCTCCTGGCGGCCGGCCACCCCGAAGTTGCCTCCCCCCTTGGGGTGGGGGTCATTAACCTCCGTCCGAGAGCTTGTGTAACACAGGCTACCTAAACCCACATTTAATTTGGTTCAGGTTAGAGGTTTAGGTTACAAGTCCGGACCTAAACCCATGGCATATGCAAAATTGCATGTTGGCAACCTTGCAATGTTGTTTGGGCAAAACTTTGGCCACATAACATGGAGGCTGATTTTTGACGATGCCCGATGGCAATGTTTTCTTCATTTTGCAGCAAAGATTTTGCAATCATCATATCCAGTTGCTTGAGTAACTGCTTTTTGGCGTAAGGTTTAAGGTAGTTTGGAAAAAAAGGGGTATGTGAAATGTTGTTTTTTTTCTTGGTAATAAGTCCAGACTTGGTTCTTGACTTTTAGTTTTTTTTGGACTTGAACCTAAGTCCGGATCCAAGTCCAGTGAACCGGTACATAGCACTACCTGGCAACCATCCATCTCCAGCTTGTGTCTGCTTCCCAACCATAGTAAAGCTGTTTAGGCAAAGAAGTATTTATTGGAAAGTGCACACAAGATGGTACAGATGCAATTACCAGAATAATCAAGAAAAATCACTAGTGAAGAGCATGCCCGTAGCGAGGATTTTGAATGGGGGGGTTCTTCCCACTGCTTGAGGGACCAGCGAGTGCCGAAGGCGCGAGGTTCCTAGGGGGGTCCGAGGGCATGCTCCCCGGGGAAATTCTGACAAATGAACCTTCTGAAATGGAATTACCTGCGTTTCTTTAGAGGATTTCAAGAAAAAATCAGAGATAATTTTTTTCAATAACAAAGTGAGCAGTTCTACGATTCCAGCCTCGCTGGTGACACGAATCAGTCCATCTTTTTAAAGAAAAATCTTGGACCTTTAGATAAAAAGTGGACCAAAAAGTGGACCTTTGAGCCTTGTGGGGGGGTTCGTCAACACAATGAAGGAAAGAAAAGGATTAATATTCTAACATTACATTACATTCAACATGAAGAAAGTTTTGAACTTTTAAGTTCAGAACTTTCTTCATGTTGAATGTAATGCAATACCTCTATGGTTTAAAAACCATAAAGGTATACTGCAGAGTCTTAGTCTTCTCTATGGTTGTTATCTTTTTCACACTGTGGAGTTTTAAACTGATGTTTGATTTGTTTTGTATTAGATGGTTTACAACATCCAGATCATTGGCAGTATGCTATTGGTCGATCTGGTGGTTGTCATAGCAGCAGAGCTGAGACTGTTGAAGAGAGACTACAGCCCGAGGATTTGGGCTCTAGAAAACACCACAGGTAGGTGTGCAGTAATCGGTACCATACATTCTTGTACTGAGCCATGACTAGAAATGAAATGTTGCATCTTGAATCTTAAATGTGATATCTGAAGAAAGCTTTAACAAGAAATAAAGATTTCATAGCTCTGTAAAATATTTAGAATTTTTGTTTGTTCTTGTTTTATTCAACTTTTCTGTTTACATCTATGCATTTTCCCACTGGCAACCCCCATCTGCCCACCCATATGCTGTCTCTTAAGTGTACAAACATACATACAATGTACATACATACACACACACGCGCGCGCGCGCACACATGTGCACACACATGAACACACGCGCACACACACATGCATACACACAAACGCACACACACACACACACATGCATACAAATGTACACACACGCGCACACACACACACAGACACACACACACGTGTATACACACACACACAAACACACACAAAACAATACTTCTGTAGAGGCAAATATCATGAAGGTTTGCGATATCCCTCCTCCTCAGATGACAGTGAGGATGCTGCCCCCACTGAACAGCAGCTGCCTGATTGGTGCCTGCTGTCAGCTGTAAACAGGAACCAGCTGTTCTTCTTCCTGCTGGCCAACCTGCTGACCGGAGCTGTGAACCTGTGCGTGGACACCCTGCGTACTGACCACTTCCTGTCCTTCTGTATCGTGTTCGCTTACATGTTACAGCTTTGTAACATAGTAGTTGTGCTTCACGCTAGAAACATCTCGCTAAAGTTCTGGTGATTCTTGTACAAAACATATACTGAGGTGCGAGTTTAGTTTGTTGTTTGCTGTTATATTTACTTTTATATGAATGCACATTCCAGTTTATGGTGAGTTTGTTATTGGAGAACTTCTTATAGCAAGGTAAGTGTAACCTTCATAATTTTGTATAGTATTGAGCTTCAATGTACAAATGTAGCTGGTCCAAATGTGTGGCACACCTCAGTTCTGATTTGTTAGTGTTAGAAATACCCATCTGCAGTCTTCACTTTGCAGGAACATTTTCAATATTGCAGAAGAAAAATTAAGCAAAATAAATACAATTTTGCAGACTGAAAAAATCAGGCTTGTGGGGTCTTTTCAGATAGAGGGTGTTCTAGCTATGTCATTGCTAAGGGGGTATGGATTCAGGATCGGTCTATTGTTTAACACCTTTTGTGTTTACTTCTGACTTTATTATGTCTAGTAATTTTGCATGTATTTTCAAATTGCATGTAAAATGTTTGCCAACATACAATTTTGTATATTTCATGGCTTTAGGCCCACAGCAAGTACAATGTATTTCAAAATTGCAGAACAAAATTTTGACATCCTGCAATTTTGTAGTACTCTGAAAAAAGTATTAATTTCTACCACTGTTTGTTGTTCAGGGATGTCATTACCACAATATGGTTTGTGACTGTTGGATATCACAGCCCTTGTTATTCTCTGTTCCTCTGGAAATACAGATCAGCAAGGCAGCAATGTGTTTGCAAGGACACAGCTTGTACAGTTTTTCCAATGATGTTTGTTAATGATGTATGTTTTTTTTTCAAACTAATTGGCTCCAGAGACACATGGCATATATGTGAGCGGGAACAGTTGTTGTTTAGAACCCCGAGTTATTTGGATGCTGCTTAGTAGAGAGACTGACTACAGGACTGACAGGACAGACATGGCCGGCTAATTAACCTAAATTAAAGACATGCATCATCATCACTTCCAAATCTTATTTTATTCACATGGATTTATGAGCATTAGATAGCAAGCACAAATGTGCTTATAAAATCTCCTGCTTAAGAACATGAAACATACAAAATACAGGTTAAAATAACTATATACAAATGTGTAATGAACATGAAATGAAAGTGGCTGGTGCATGCACCAATAAACATGAAATGAATGCCGTTGAGTAACTGCTTTTTGGCAAATGCCGTTAATATGATAAATTAAATCTTCCAGACTGAGAGATGAAATTGTAGACAGTATCGAAAATACAGCAATACTTGTAGTAGAGTATGGGAGGGACCCAGACCCTGGGGGAAGACCCCCCAAGACCAGATACAAGTCTTCCTAAGGGAAGCGGAGACCATGGCCCTTGATAGAACTGTCAGGAGGACACATACGAGGGGGAGCAAGGGGCCAGTACCTGGCCTGATCTGATGAGCACGTAGGCAGGGAGGAAGGGGCTACCGGTAATTGTAAGGAGTCAAGTGCATAATGTGGTGTCATTTGAATTGAGTGGGTCAAAGGGGAATATGTTTTCAAGGGGTTAACAGGATATGGATATTAACAACATTTTAGTCCTTTCCTTACTGTAAAGTTTGCAGTGCAACAAATAGTGTTCTGATGTGTCATTTGAATGCCCACATTTGCACTCTGGGCTAGCAAGGAGGTATTTAACCTCCTTGGGGCTAGTGATGCTGGAACAGTTTGTAGTTCAGCTGGCTGAAGTTGAGTCTGAGCCTGGTTAGATGTACATGTATTGCATGGTGTCCGTGGCCGTATGAGTAGTGGGGGTCTCTAGGCATGCTATCAAAGCAAGACTCTAGTTCATTTTTAATGTATGGATGGAGAAAGATAATTTGGCAGTCTGTGGTAATTGGTTCCAAGAGAGAATGGCAGAAGGCAAGAAGGATCTTTTGTATTTTTCAGTTTTGATGGCAAAATGGAGATAACTCAAGTTCGCATGTAGGCCATAAGGGGTGGAGTCACGGATGAGTGGGGGAACCAAATCTTGTAGATATTTGGAAGCTACTGTAAGTTTGTGCTTTTCACATCTTAGCAAGTGTTTCCCAACCTAACCAGAAAACATTGGCGTACTCATTTAAAGGACGTATCATGGTTTTGTACAAATATTTTTAAACTTCTAAATATTCAGACAGAATTGCCCACTTTCCTACAAACCACTAGAGAGTCCAAACTTAGACCACTTTATCTATACCCCAACAACTACTGTATACACCATACAAAAATCCAGACAATTGCTCTTCTAGAACTTGAACTGCTGGCAAGCAAACCCACAAGCACAAAAGTTCCTACATCACTGCAGTGATGTAGGAACCCATCACAAAGCCCAGTTTTGCACTTGAACTTGGTCTCCCCAACGGTCCAAACCATGCCTTCAAGCCAGTTATGCCACCAAATTCACAGTCTCCCACACTAAAGCAAACTGATTTTATACCTTTCAGATGAAGGCAATAAAAACATCTGATCTACGAGATAAAAGATAGATGTTGTATTATCGGAGAGGAAGTCGATTTGGGGTACTCTATCAAAATGAATAATGAACTATGAGAGGAAAGCCAAACTAGCGTGACACTAGCTGTTTACTACTTGGCCTTTATGAGTAATGCAGACTGCCAGTTGTCTGAACTTCACCTTTATCAACTCTGTCTCCACCCTCAACCTCTCCCACTGTTGTTCCTCCCTCTGTGCACCCTCCCCACCTGATTCCACAGACTCGCTCATATCAGCCTGGCTGCCATCATACAGGAGGTCATCAGAAAACAATCTGTAAGCCTTGCCCTTCATGGATCTGATAAAATCTCTGACCCCTTCAGCACTGAACCTGTTATCGTACAGTCTGACTTCCTCCACATTTCTACTAACCTTCAGCCTTGCAGCTATGGTGGGGAGGGACTTGTCACTGATGGAATTGTGATACATATCTACATGTGTCAGGAAGGGAAGGTTGATAAAGGCTTTCATTAGCTCTCCAACATCGGACAATTTGTTATAACTAAGGTCCACCATCTTCAGGTTCTGACATGAAGCAAGACCTTGAGCAAGACCAGACACTGCCTCATCACTTATGGCATTTTGACTGAGATCTATCTCCTCTAACATATGAAAGTGTTGAAACATCTGAGTTGAGACACTTATTATGTTGTCCAATGACCAGCCCTTTAGTTTCAGCTTCTTTAGTAGATGTTGCACCCCATACAGCTGGTTGATGTGTATAGCCTCCTCCTCCCCCTGACAGCTGACACAAAGTGCTAACTCCTGCAGGTTGGGCAGCTGAGAGAGGAACTGGAGTAGAAGGGGGACATCACTAGTGCGTAGTGGGGCAACATTGGACCAAGGGTAATCTGCAGATGTGAGATCAAGTTTTGTTACCTGGCTAGCATTCTTTCTGTTACAGATGAGAGACACAAGATCACCAGATATGTTATTTTCCCTAATCTTCAACTGCAGCCGTTTGCATTGTCCCTGTAGCAGCAACAGCAGTGCTCCCTTATTTGAGATTCTATGACTTTCGAGGTAGACCTTCTTCAAATTCTCACATGAAGATAGACCTCTAGCAAGATCGGGCACTGCTTCGTCACTAATGGCATTGTGACTGAGATCTATCTCCTCCAAGTTGGGGAGGGGGGGTAAGAAATCTCCCCTGCCAGATAACTTGTTATGACTAAGGTTAACCTTCTTCATGTTCTGAGATGAACTAAGACCTTCAGCAAGACCAGGCACTGCCTCATCACTAATATCATTGTGACTGAGATCTATCTCCTCCAAGTTCTGTAGAGTTGGTAATTGTTCTGTGAGTGACAGAATGTCGTCACTGGTCAAGTTGCAGTAGGTAAAACCCAGCATCTTTAGTGGAGGAAATCTGCTAACCTCGTCACCCTCTGCTGATGATGTACCAGGACATAGCAGGGACAGTCCTTGACACAATTTCAGCCATTCAGAAGAGCTGACCTTCAGACATTTCAAATTCAACTTCACTAAACATTCCAGATGGCGAAAAGATGATGCAAGTTCAGCAACAGCAGCAGTAGGCAGTACTAGTAGTGAGGACCTTTCACACCATGCACCATTGTTATCTTCTTCCTTTTGTCTCCCATAGAGAACTAACTCTTGGATGTCAAAAGGAAGGAAGGAGAAAACACTTGGCCATACATCTGGCCGAGTTTTACACTGCAGGGTGAGAGTTTCAGACCTTCCTGACAGACAGCTTACAGAGCTGTATTCAGTGAGTTCTGCATGTTTTAGGTTGTGCAGGCAGCTCAAGACAATCATGGCTTGTTTCATGTCGTCATTGTTAACTTCATTAAATGCAATGGCTATGTCTGTGATGTTTGGAGTGAATAACAGGGACTTTGACAAGTTGCCGAGGGTACCCGATGTGAACTTGTCTGACTTGACTTTAAGTTTCTCTAGGGATTGATTGAACAGCAAGTATTGTTGCATGATCTCAACTTTGATTTTTTTGTCCTTTTTTACAAAGAACATTAGTCTTGGCAGTAGACTGTCAAGAGACATACATGTACTTGACAGGCACTCAAAAAGAGGCAGGTAGCTGAGATATCTTATTTGATTCGTATGGTTGGTAGAAGAAGAACGTTTTGACCCAAAAGGATACTGTTTTGCTACATGTTTAAAAGTCATGTTTTCTGGTAGTTTTACTCTCTGAATAAGTGTTGTGTTCCTGATGAGTTGTGTCAAGCAGTGGAGGCCATGTAGGGAGATTTCAGGGATAGCAGACAAGTCCAGAGTTTTATCTGGAAAGAGAGTCTGTGTCAAAGATGACAGAGCGTCTAGCTGCTTTGATTCTGCAATTGTATTCACAACCAAGAAACGGTGGTTAGAATTGTCAGACTCTCCCTCCAGCTGCCGTTGCATGAGTAATGTTACAAACTGATGCAAGTGTGTTGGAGATTTTGTCATGCTCAGGAAGTGAGCAAGGCTGCAACAGGTGATGGGCAGGTGGTCTGACATTTCAGCACAAACTCTCAGGAGTTCTGAACAGTCAGCTGCAGTCTGGGTTCTGATTGCGTGTGCTACCCACTCTGCCATGAGAAACTGCCGTATGCTGTCATGTACAAACTGGAAGGCACTCTGTGCTTGATCAGAATCAGCTGGTTGTAACAAACCAACAGATGACTGTCGAATGTCATCCCAATGGCATTCAAATTGGCTTTTGTACACAAGCAATGACTGGTTAGTTGTTTGACTTTCAAAAGCAGCTTTTCCCAAAATATGACAATCATTTCCATATCTAGACATAAGTTTATGACTCATGCTATTTTGGGAAAAGAATTGCAAGACAGATGTTGCAACAACAAAGTCTACAAATTCTGACAATGTGCCAGGAAACCTTTTATACTGTTCCCAGTATTCACACAAGTGAGAGTGGAAAAACCTGTCCCGGACGAGGTGCTTAACCAGTAAGTTACTTGGCCAGCTCTCCTGGATAGACCTTGCTGTGTCTTCATCAGCCTTGAAGAAGTCTTGGAGACAGTCATTCCAGGCCGAGGCGTCTTCTCCAGTTGGATACTTGGAAGGGCTGGCTGTGCTGATGTGTGATCCTTGGAAAGAAAGAGGTGTAAATCTTATGACATGCTTCCAAATCAAATGGCCCAATGAAATCTATAAACCATCTACTACCGGTAATACATATCGATATACATGAACATATATGATATCTCTAATCTCTCGCTCTCATACACATACATATATACAGATAGATAGAGAGAGAGATGTATAGATTATAGATGATAGTGTATAGGAATTTTATAATGTTTACCCCAACCATGGCTCTGCAATGATGGAAAAAGGAGTCATGTTTGAAAGATGTTGTATGGGACAACAGACATTTACCAGAATCTAGAGATGTGCTCCCATCTTCCTCAGATATATCGCCAACCTCCATGTTACTATGGCTACCACCTGATTCTGATGATGATTCACTGTCAGAGTCATCTGATAACTGTTTGCCACCTAGGATAAGGAATAACATTGCTGTGGCTGCAATATAATGCTTAGTCTCCTCTTAAATCATCTCACATTATAATTGGCAACAATTGCTTTATATTGCGTGAAACTCCCATCCTGGCAATGTACACAACTGACAATCACAAACCATTGTTCATATTACCAAATGATTTATGGAATTATCCTTCTTTGTGAATGTAATTTGTTCCACCTTTAGAATGCATATAGCAATTGAAATGCAAAGGAATGATCAGTTCAAGTTCTACGTAGTTCAATTTACCAGAATGTGGCAATATTCCACCTTCCTGAGAAATGTCCCCTCCCTCCTTGTTGCTATGGCTACCACCTGGCTCAGATACCGATCCCTCTCTGTCTGTGTTGTCTGGTAACCTGTCATCAGGTTTGTGATCCCCTGTGAAGTGAAAAGATTTTTCACCCAACTAACAAAATATAATCCATTGATTAAGGAAGAAGGGTATGATAAAACTACATGTACATGTATGTTGATAATTACATTTATTATATCATCATTTAATAGATATAAACACCTTCAACCTATGACATAAGACAATTTGGTGGTGACACCTTTCCTGTCAATATTTGATAGACCATAACTTAATAAGTATTTAAACATTAAATTAGAACTGATTATTCTTTTAAAGCCATTAAATACTTACCATGTGTTATACTTGAATGTGGCATGACTTTACCTGCCACACCACTAGAATCTCCATCTGTTTAAACAAAACAGCATTTACTAAACAACTGTGAACACTTGATATACAACTTTACAAGTTTTCGTTCCACATGTTAGGCCACAATATTGACTCAATTTTATGAATGACATCCTCTAAAATGCTGCTAAACCACAGGTATACAAAGCTGGCATTGAATGAAAGTAAATAAATACAAGTAGTCATAGGTGACAATTCTGCGTGAAGTTTTATATCTTGCAGATTGGGAACAGTATAGTGTACACGTGTATGTAAACAGTGTGTGAGCACTTTACAACTGGTAACAACATATCGTAAAAATGGCTAAATCCCTGGTCAAATAAAGATCGCGCTCATGCGGCTGCCCGCCTTGGGGTCATAAATCCTCGGCCGAGAGTTTGTACAAATACAGGTTACATAACATCAACAACACTACACTGGCTACATTGTACATCAACAACACGACAAATTACTAAACAGAATCTTAGTCTCCAGGACTGTCTGGAGATGACGTATAAAATTACATGCCGATTAAACAAAGGCAACCCTATGATCTGGCTGTGAACACGAAAAACTGCCTCCACCACAATACTCCTGAAGAAGGTATGCCTCCTTCACGGAGTAAAAATACAAAGCTAAGATACATGTATTGTAAATTCACAGTAGTTCATCTAGTGACTTCTATGACAAGCCGGCACATGCTGGCCTTTTGCAGAATTTATAAATCAGCATGTATCTATGTACTGAGTACTCGAGTCGTAGAGCTTTGGTTCAGCAGCCTGACCGGTGCCATCCCCCATAGTTACCGCCGGCTCCCTACTGTCGCTACCTCATAGATTACGTGATAGTCCGGAGAAGGGACAGGCAGGATGTCAGAGTAACAAAGTCTATGTGCGGTGCAGACTGCTGGACAGACCACAGGTTAATTCGCTCAAAGCTCAACATGCACATCAAGCCCAAGAGGCGCCCTCAAGGCAAACCAGCAAACAAAAGACTAAACACCAGACTGCTGGAAGATAGTTCTGTGAAAAACAATCTGAGAGATAACTTAGACAACAAGCTCAGGGACTTGAACTTCTGTTCAAACGGAGCAGAAGAAGACTGGACTGCTCTCAAAGAAGTTCTGTACAACACTGCACGTTCTCACCTTGGACTACAGACACGAAAGCACCAGGATTGGTTTGATGAAAACGATGAGGACATCCAGAAATTACTAGATGAAAAACATGCTGCTTACAGAGCATTTCAACAGGCAAACAGGTCAGATGCCAAGAAAGCGTTGTACAATGCCAGTAAAGCCAAAGTGCAGGCTAAGCTGAGGGAAATGCAGGATTCTTGGCTCAGTCACAAGGCGGACGAGATACAGATGTTTGCAGACAGTAACAACACAAAGCACTTCTATGATGCCCTAAAGGCCATCTACGGACCACAATCCACTGGCACATCTCCACTGCTCAGTGCCGATGGTACCACTTTGATCACCGACAAAGACAAGATCCTAGAAAGGTGGGCTGAGCACTTCTGCAACGTCCTAAACAGGCCCTCTGTCATGAATGATGAAGCCATAAATGACATGCCTCAAGTTCCGGTTAACATCACTTTGGATGAACTCCCGACAGAGCAGGAAGTCCAGCAAGCTATCCAGCTCCTCTCAAACGGTAAAGCACCAGGCTCTGACGCTATACCAGCAGAAGTCTACAAGGCTGGGGGAACAGTCCTGACTCAGAAGCTTACTGAGTTCTTTCAGTCCCTGTGGGAGAAGGAAGAAATTCCCCAGGAGTTCAAAGACGCCTCAATTGTTCATCTCTACAAAAGGAAGGGCAACAGGCAGTCTTGTGACAACCACAGGGGGATTTCCTTACTTGTCATAGCTGGCAAAATACTAGCCAGAGTTCTCTTAAACCGACTCATCCAGCACATGGACGAACACCTGCCTGAGAGTCAGTGCGGTTTCCGAGAGGGTCGAGGAACGGCTGACATGATATTCGCAGCACGTCAGCTCCAGGAGAAGTGCCAGGAACAGAACAGGGACTTATACACCACTTTTGTAGACCTGACAAAGGCCTTCGATACAGTTAATCGAAACGGACTCTGGAGAATCATGGGAAAGTTTGGCTGCCCTAGCAAATTCATCAACATGGTACGCCAATTTCACGATGGAATGCAGGCCAGAGTGCTGGATGCTGGCGACTCCTCAAGTGCCTTTGCAGTTACAAATGGAGTTAAGCAAGGGTGCGTGCTTGCACCGACGCTGTTCAGTATGATGTTCACTGCCATGTTGTCTAATGCCTTCCGCGAGGATGATGCCACAAGCATCAAAATCAGGTACCGTACTGACGGCAGACTCTTCAACTTGAGGAGACTTAAGGCCAAGACGAAGGTGAAGGTGACGTCTGTGCGTGACTTCCTGTTTGCAGACGACAGTGCGTTAAATGCTGCCTCAGAGGACTTGATGCAACAGAGTATGGATCGCTTTTCTTCTGCTGCTGACAACTTTGGTCTCACGATAAGCACTAAGAAAACAGAGGTCCTGTACCAACCTGCACCGCATAAGCCGTACGTGGATCCTGTCATTACTGTAAACGGGGAATCACTAAAGGCAGTTGCAAAATTCAAGTACCTTGGCAGCACACTCTCCAGGTCTGTAAACATAGACGATGAGGTTGACGCACGGGTCGCTCTGGCAAGCTCCTCCTTCGGACGTCTGCGAGCCTCAGTGTGGGAGAGGAGAGGCATTAGACTGAGCACGAAGTTAAAGGTGTACAGGGCAGTTGTACTGCCATCACTACTGTACGCCTGCGAAACATGGACGATCTACGCACGTCATGCCAGAAAGCTCAATCGCTTTCACATAAACTGCCTGAAAAGACTCATGAAGATCACTTGGCAAGACAAAGTCCCAGACACAGAGATCCTCCAGCGGGCCGATCTGCCAAGCATCCACACACTGCTGAGGAGAGCCCAAGTCAGATGGGCAGGCCATCTGGTAAGGATGCCTGACACACGGCTACCAAAGAGACTTCTGTACAGTGAACTGGTAGAAGGCAAGCGCTCAGTAAGAGGACAGAAAAAGCGCTTTAAGGACACACTGAAAACAACTCTTAAAAGTTTCAAGATAGATACATCTACCTGGGAATCAGCAGCCCAAAACCGTGCTGCCTGGCGCAGCCACATCAGCAGCGGTGCTACTCTCTACGAGAAAACCAGGATCGCAGAAGCCGTGAGGAAACGCGCTTCCAGAGCTGCCCCCACATCCCGGACTCCAGAAACCCACCTGTGCCCGACCTGTGGCAGAACCTTCAGAGCCCGTATAGGACTTGTGAGCCACAGCCGGACACACAAGACCTGATGTGATGTTCATTGGTCATCGTCGACTACGACGGACGAACAACAACAACTGTCGCTAGCTACCATTGGACTATGGAGGATGGCACCAGAGCCTCGGAGGACGTGATCTTTTTTTTTTTTAAAGAACAGGCGAAAATCAATGCGTGTGCGGACGTCATCCATAAAATTAAATAAGCGTGGCCTTACTCATGATCAAAAAGATAATCACGTATTTTCAAACCCTCTTCTCCATCAGTGAAGTGGAACAAGTGGCAAAAGAAATACAATGCATGACGACAACTCACCATGATCTATGTCTCCATCTGAACTTGACCCGTAATCTTTATCACCTTTCCACTCTGACCCACAACATGCATCGTCCACATCCTTCTGGAACAGTTCACCGGTCTCCACCTTACCTGGGAAAAATGATGAAAAGCTGTCAAGTTATTTACTCTGGCTACATAGATGTACGTGCCTGGATGAATCTGTAGGTTGGAGCCAATAACACCATTTACAAATGGATGTACATGTTACCTGCTATCTGGTGCAGACCAGCTGCTCTCAGTCCCACCAACATGGTGTCAAGTGTTGCTCCCCATTGTTCTCTTTCTATCCACTCCTCCAGACACTGGTTCGCCTGACAGCTGGAGTGGTAATATTTAGTTATCCTACCAATATCAGTGCTACTGAATCCGAGCTGTAAGGCCAGCCATGGCCAATCGTCCCCAAGTTTGTTGGCTATGATCATCAGCTGGTCGTAAAAACCTGGAAAAGAGAAATAAATTTGTTATCGCGTAAAAGTTAAACGTAACTCACAACTTGATCTGAAGACACTAAATCCATGTTTTAAACATTGATTCAAAATGCTTATAATATTAGTTACATATGGAGCCTAAGTCTTGTATACTGTATACTACATGTAGTACTACATATAAAAACACCTTACCTTGGTCAACCTCATACTCTCCTTCATCTTCAGAATCTGAAGTGCTCTCCAGAGCAGAGGTGGAACTAACACTGGTGTCTCCCTCATCTGAGTCAGGAAGCATCACTGTTTCTGCAGGATGATAATCAAGTTTATCCAATGGCATGTTCTTTTTTATCTTCTACTATTAACATCCATGTCCATAATATCACCAGGGTCCATAATATCGCCACCTTGAGAAACAGTGTGCTTTAAGATATTTTTACTGCAACATACTTTTGGTATGCACTCCTGCACACCTTAAATGTACATACCTAGGGTATGTTGCAGTAAAAATATCTTTAAGCACACTATTTCTCAGGGTGGCGATATTATGGACCCTGGTGATATTATGGACACGGACGTTAGCTACTAACAGTATCTTTTTATCCATCTCCCTGTTTGTCATTTTGATATTGAAAGATGATTTTTTCATACAGTGTGAGGAATCACTATTATATATGAGTTGCACATACATGTATTTCTGTATCATTGATTTACCATCATCCCCCTCAGCTTCCTCATCATCAGAACTGCTGGACTCTGAAGAACTGGACATGTTAGAACTTTTCCGAGTGCCTGGCAATGTGTTTCCTGAGGAATATAAATTTAAAGTCATATGAGTTTACTATTCACAAGGTTTCAAAACATTGCTCCTCACTAGTTACATGTAATACACATGACACCTTTCTCCACATTTTGTCTGAAGAGATTTATATAGTCTGACTTACGATCTGGCCTTGTTGCATCCATGTCATCCTCTGGTTTCTCTTTTTCAGCCTGACCGTGCACTGCTTTTTCAAACAGCTGTCCAGAAGCTGCTGCATCTGCATAGCAACAAGGCATATTGGACAGTAAGGGATAAATTGACAGAATCACAACATTATGCTCTGAGTTTAGGGCTGTGCTCCTGTTGTGAACTCGTATGGCAGACTATTAAAACTTTGATCTTTCTCGAATAGCAATGGCAAATAAATTTATCATGATCATGTTTTTAACCTTTTACCACAGTTAATGCAAAATTAGGACAGACAGTTTACCTGCAACCTGATGTATCCCAGCATTCCTTAGGGCCTGCACCAGCTGGTCCAGAGTGATGTCACCAGCGTTCCTCTCCATCCAATCACAGATCAGCTGGCGAGGACGGAGGGAGGGGGGCTGTCTGGCTGTCAGGTCCCGGATGTAGTGAGTGGTGAAGCCGAGAGATAAAGCCACACGCTCCCACATGGAACCCAGATGGTCAGCAACAGTGGCTAACTGTCTGTCTAGCTCTGTAAAACATAACTCTAAAGGGTGACCATTTTATGAAACATTAAACATCAACTAGACATCAAAAGACATCTGATATCAGTGCTAACATGACATGTAAATTAGGAGGATCTGTACATTTGCTGGAACATCGATACTATGTGGTGAAGTCATAACCACTATGTGGTGAAGTCATATATTATAATTGTTTTTGCTCACGTTTCTTCTCCCTCTCCTGCCATTTCTTTAAATTGATTCAACTCCTTCATTTTTGGGCCATTTAATAACATGAAATTTGGCATGAAGGTAGAGTGGGCAAATACCCACAGGCTGCTTTTCCATTTTTGTGATACAGGCTTTTATAATGGCTTTATGTCAGCTTTTTGGCTGTGTTATAGAAAATGTACTATAGCAGTGTGTTACCATATTTGGGCATGAGTCATCAGAATGGCATGTAAAGCAGGCAACCAATAGGCATGCAGCTTTCCTCTATTCTCCTTGCTGATTGGCTGTTCGGATTTGATTGGGTTAACTCAATTAACACCTGTACAAAGCCATGCCATATTGGCCGTGTTTATGTGAAGTCACCCAAACCGCGATTCGGGTAACTCACATTCCTCACTTCTGGTCCACGTGCTACACACTACTGTGAAACCGTGTCCGATCACAATTCGCTTGAGCTACATTTATTGCTGTTTGATGATAACACGCAAGGTAGCGTGTTATTAATGTCAGAAGTCAACGACCTGCTTGCTGATGCCCCCCTCCCAGTGTATCTCGGCCGTACATGTACTGTAGTATGCTGACGTGGTCCAGCCAGAGGCGGTGAAGCTCGCCCTAGAACGGACACATTATTTGACTATTACTGCTCTTTAAGTTGCTGCCACGTAAAGGTTGGTATTGCATATTAATAAAGAAATATCACCCCGTAATCCATGACCAGGCGAAGTTACATTGAAATCACATTGCGTTCAGACGCAAATCGCGATGCGGGAAAACCGATTCGAAACCACCTTTAGAAGTGGCTTGGGATCGAGGCGCTTTCAATGTGATTTGGAGCGTTCAGATGGGTGCACTTGAAACCGGCTTCGAGGTAAACCACATGTAAACCGCCTTGGGTGACTTCACATAAACACGGCCATTGACAGTATGAACTTTATTCAAGTGTTTTGGTAGGTACATGTATGTCAAGCTTTCCTGCTCCAGCATACATGTATTTTTGCATTGGAATGTGGGGGATAAACGCTTCATTTTACCTTGAAAATCAACAGTTTGCATTATGCAATTAAAAATCCCAACCAATAATGTAAGGAATAGCTGTCCAACTGTTGTCACTTCATACTATAGTTATATCAATGTAAAGAATTATTTTCCCTTGTATTTCTCCTTCTTTCCCTGCCATTTCGTGAAATGTGGTGAAGTCATGCCGAATTTGCTCCAAAACAAATATCGGCCTTTCTAGTATGTATTTATCTTTCATTGGTTTGCCCATAATGTTACAATATTCATCTTATCACAATTCAAATCAAACATAATCATGTACCTGATTCCTCCTTCACTTCCACTCCAAAGGTGTCCGTTTCTGTCAAACAAAAACAGCTAAAAGTTTGTCTTATAACATAATATACAATATAAGTGTCCCAAATAGGAAATTGATGTGATTAGATAATAGCGGGTTTTTATAAATCTAAATGTTGATGTTGATATTCTGAAGGTTATTCAATAACTTTTAATTTCAATCTCCAATCAACAAAATGTTTCAGTCTGTTTTGCATATACCTGATTTTACTATACCCATCATGCAGCAGGATGGCGCCTGTTCAGCTGGCTCCTGTTTCACCTGGATGATCACATCACCACCAGATGACACCTGTCGCCCAACTGTGCCATCACCATGGTTACTGCTACCTGGATCAGGATGTGGGGGGATCTGGCCCGCTGTGCCACTTGGGTCTGGGTAGGAGTACAGAGATATCATCGTTAAAGAAGTAATAAATGGTTAATTGATAAACAAATAACAAATCGGCCTTGCAGCAATGGCTGAATTGTGCCGAAGTTGACAATCATCAAGTACAGTAAAATCAATGAAAAAGTATATATTATTATACATGTATATACAAAGTTCAATATTATCGACGCCATTAACAATACTACAGATATAACGTGGTGGTTGGAGATCAGCATAATTAAAAAAATAGCGTTATTGGAGTCCTTACAGGAAAGGCTGCTCTTGAACAGATCATAACAGTTCAGTTTTACAGTCCATTGAGGAGTTTAGCCAACATTGGCTTTGCACTCGTGGTGTATCTCAACAAACATCTCAGTAAACATCTCAACAATAATCCAGCAACATTCTGTGAACACCTTTTACATTTACACACACGATAAATGCACAAGGCGAGAAATATTTAGAAATACATAATTGTGTTATTTTTTCTTAGAATCATACATACATATCTTAGAGGCATTGAATGCAAATTGTTTACAATTCAACTTTCAATTAAGAGGCACATTGTAGAGTTAGTTAGCTTGTGTCATGTCAAATACTGTAGTGACATTTTCTCTCATACCCTGGTCTGAGAAGTCCCCCTCCTCTGTAGCAGAGTGCAGGACTCGGACATGTATGTATAAGTCTGCTCCTCCCTCTGCTGTCCTCATGTCGCCTGTGATCAGTTCTCGGGTCAGGGTGTCGGACAGGCTCCCATCAGAGTAGCCGCGCCAAAATGTGTCGTAACAGCAAATATCAGCGAAGTCAAGATGGCAGAGAACACATCCTGTCTCCGCTTTTCTAAGAGCAGCATTAAATCTTTCAAAGCACCTCACCATTTTGTGCAATGTGTATCTGCATTTCTTGTCAAAAAGCTTCCTTTCCAAGATTTTGTTGGCAACTTCTGCAATTTTGTCATTCACACGCTTCCTGATTTCTGATTTTACTTGGGTGGAAAGTTTGGTTCTATTGTCATCTTCAGTTTTGATAACAATAGCTGTAGTGGAATTCCCCAAGTCTTGGCCAGTTTTAGGAAATTCATCTGAAGTTTTGAAAATATTATTAGCCATTTGAAGAATGGTATGATATATACTTTCAGTACTTTGGGTGTTGCCCCCTGAACTACTGGCATTTGTCTCCACCTTCATCTTTTGAGGATGCTTTCCCTGATGGCCACAATAGTCTGTGGGGAAACAAGAATGCCTTCGTTAGACATTAAGCACATAGCCTAAAGCTTACGGTAGGTAGGCAGGACATTTACGCCACGTTTTAAAACATTTGTTACAAGTATACGGACATTCACTCTGAATTATTTTTAAAAAATCATACTGATGTCAACATCTGTGTACAAAAGTAAGGGCTTGAACCTTATCACAGTTCCACAACCTCATACCTTTGCCAAATAATGTTAATCTTAAGTTTATGACTGACAAATTATAGATTATTCCCCTGATTATGAAAATAGATCCTCATTTCAATGAATTATATCTGATTCAGTTGATCATATTCTTCACCAAAAGATCTCATCTTAACAAAGAATGCCATTCTAGCATTTCCTCATAAATTGTGCAAATGAGGTCCTTACTTTAATAACTTATGTTTAATGATGTTCACCTTTATTTGACTTTCAAATACCCTAAGTATGAAATTCCAGGCCGTTACAATTGCTGAATTACAACATTTTCTCATCAATTATGCAAAGTCTTGATTTACATAATCAATATCTGCCTGACATGTTTTTCTCTTGTTCTCAATTACATATGCCACAAGCTTGAATAGTCATTTCATGTAATGCAACTGATTTACAGTTTCCTCATAAATTATGCAAATTACATCCATATTTGCATAATTGTCACATAATCATGTCAAGCATCACCTTAAGCTACCTTAATGTCTTTTTGTTTTTAACACATGTAATAGACAATTGCACCTTTGTCAGATTCTGATTCGTCTCCACTAGTTGAACTCGATGATTCATGGTGTTGACTTGACCATGTGGTTGTTAAGTTTGTCTCATTACCATTCTCTGTCTTCCCAATGAGATTCTGTGTTCCATTACTGCTTGATCCTGTTGTCTGTTCCATTGTGTTCCGTATGATGGTACCATTCGATTCTACAAACACAAAGTCAGACACAACCATAACTAAATATCTTGCTGATTCAAGAACATTTAGTCCTGTTGTTATCCTGGGTGCCATTGTAGCCAGCCATATTGAGCCAGCAGAAATTTTAGTAGATGACTCAGGCTATCTAATGTTATTCCTTTAAAGAAATACACCACCGCAGCGATCCAATTGATGTACAGCAACTTGATGGTTTATGAAATGTGCAAGGATATGTAAAATAAATGTAAAGCTTTGATTACTTACCAGCACATGCAACATGGTAAGACTGAATTAATTCCTGTTTGAACTGAACTGAACAACGACTGGAATCCTGGGTCTTCCTCTTTTTATGAGTGGGCTCTGAAACAAACAAAAGAGACATTATCAACGAAATCAATAAATATGCCACATTGCTTCAACATCTACATGTATAATTGTTTGATTTTTTTATTTAAGAAGAGTATGTTATTAATTAGCTTAACTTCAGACACTTCAATGATGAAAATGATCCACAAATTCCAGATTTATCAATGGCTTGAGATAAATTGGCTTGTTGTTGAGTTCTGCAAAGGCAAGTTAACTGCAAAAGCCAACAGAATAGATGTCTGCTTACCTGTCCGATGTAAGCCATGGTAAGGAATGCACATGTATGCAGGCTTGAACTCCGTGGTCAGTTCATTATTACCAGTATTTACTTCTTGGCTGCCGTACCTGTCAACTTCATCTGTAGGTAAAATGGGAGCTGGGTTTTACTCCTGAATTCTCCCTTTGATTTAAGTTAAATTCAAACAGGGCCACTGCTTTTACAATTTGATATCATCTTACAAATCTACAATGATATACGAAGGTTGTATAAGCCCCCATTCTCGTTCTACATTAAATATTATATATATTGTACACTTGGGTTCTGCTGCAACTTTGTTAAATGGTAAAGATCATCATCAACAGCCCAATACTGGAGACTGCTAGTAAAAGTAATTTATTACATCAAAAATATCATCAGCACATTTTCAAAACTTTCATCATCATCATATGATCATGATATGTAAATGTGACAATATCCTATTAAGCCCAGGCCCACCTGCTGCATGTTGAAACCCTCCCCTCCTGAGAGCTCCTGCCAGCCTCACCCTACAGGCCTTCCTGCCATGCCTGTCCCTCCACAGCTCCAGGGCCTGTAATGCCTGACGCTCGGTGCTGCTGGGATGTTGTACCTGGATGTTCACGATGTGTTCTGCAGTCAGACTCAGCTGTTCTGATGCAAACTTCACCCATAAGGACCCAACAGCTTTGGCTACAGGTGGGAAGTATGGGTGGCTGGGGGCACTTCCTGGAAAAGTGGGAATTCGCAACATTCATGGTAAATATTGATGCTGTCCTTTCAAGATCTAGAGTTATAGAGTAATTTACATTGATGCCTTTATTAGAAAGAAACAAGACAAAATTATAAATGCCAAACTTACCAGCATGCAGATCATTCCCCATCGAAGATGACTCTTCTGATGAATCTTCATGGGGCTGTTTGGCTTTTCTTTTTCTCTCCCTTTTCTGTCTTGTTTTCTTGCCTAAGACTAGAGATGGGACAAAACCAATTTATTTAATAGCAAATATTGTCTGAGTGTGTGAACAGTTTCTGACAATACGTTTTTCTTAGTTACTAGCTGAAAGTCTGGGTGTAAACGTTACCTGGACATGTAACAATGTAAAGTTTTTTAAAATCTGACATCAAATTATTATAACAAGAAACCTTCTAAACTCTCTGCAGTCAGCCGCTCATCAATGTTGATGAGTGCCTTCTTCAGAACCTGTAGAGTAGCTTTCTTTCCGTTCTTGTTTCTCCACCTGCGCAGCATTTCCCTGCACCTGTGATCCTGGTCCGTCCTGGAGCCATGGATTACATCTATCTGGTTATCACTGAAGCCCAGCTTCCGGGCCAGGTCATCCCACTTGTTACTGACTTCAGTGATGACTTTGTCAAAATATTTCTGCATGTCATCTGAAACAATGATCATTATCAGTATTTTGACATGTGTGTTCAATATATTGTGGATCATCAGGTACAAACTTTGATATTTTAGTTGTAGGTTTTCGTTACATTGCTTTGGAATTTTGCAATCATGCTGACAATACCAACCATAAGGCAGCCAACTTGACTAAGAAAACAATCTTCTGGCAACTCATATAAGATTGTCATAGACCCATTTGGTTTCTCATGAGCTGAGTCCTGTCCACATTATGTTGACATTATGATTGGTGTAACACTAACACTTGATAGTTATTCACCACAGTGTAGTTTTATGTTTACCCTAGCAAAAACCTGATTTGAAAAAAAAAAAAGATTCTGGTTCTTCATCAACTCGAAAATGCTCATATTTTGCCCCCAACAGTTGAGGAAAGTCCTTTTACGTAGCCGGGATACTCCCAACACTTTTCTCCCTAACAGTTTTTCTATCTATCAACATTGGTTTCATTTTTAAAAAGTTAATGACTCCTATTGTAGCATTTAGGGCTATAATAGGATGCCTAGAACTGTTTTTTTTTCCTTGTCGCTTCATATTAAAACAAATTAAATTGGTGTGGCCTATGCTGTATTAGTCATGATTCATCATTTATGTTAAGTCCTATTATACTTCTGTTACCACAACTATGTAAAGCTATGAAATGTACGTGTTTCTTATTTCCAGTTTATTTCCAGCTATATGCTTAGAGTTCAAGACACTATCTGTTAGGATTTTACCTTGCCTATCACTTATTATTGCACACAGCTTTACCACTCGTGCCACCAGACAAGGCAAACATAATGCTACATAATTAATCTTTATTTTATAATTTTATTTATTACATTTCCAAAAGAATACAAAAGTAACAACACATCTCAGACTTCATACCTCCATGAAATACATGAGTTTTTGTAAAATTTTTTTTATTTGTCTCATTGACTATGGAAATAAGGTCGTACTTAGCATAATCTAGTTTAATTTATGGTTTTCTAAATTCAAATGACAATATTTTTTGTGTAAAATTCCTCTCCTTTATCGTACTTCATTATGCAAATGACCTCTACATTAACATAATATATGCATAGTGGTGTTAACCTTACACATGTCACAAGGTATAAAATTCCCATCATTCACCAATAAGGAGTCACAGAGTTCTCACATAAATTATGCAAATTATGGCATCATTTGCATAATTGGTATCTGTTAATGTTCCCCTGCCACAGATTAAATAGATTATATGACGTATGTATAAGGTACCATTATATAAAACACTGTAATTATAGAATTTCCTCATTAATTATGCAAATTAGGTCCTCATTTGCATAATTTGCATTCAATTATGTACAACTCTCTCTTGGCTACCTACACACCAAAAATGATGAAAATACGTTGTTCCTATCCGGACTTATTGGCTTTTAAAGATTCCGCCAGAAAGTCCCCTGTAGTTCCAGAACAAGTTCCCCTGGGAGAAGCTCATTAATCAAAACCGGGCAGGCCAGCCTCCACCCACACATCTGTTTTCCCTGCCACCCCGCACATCTGTTTTCCCTGCCAACCCGCACATCTGTTTTCCCGAAAGTTCTGCTGCAGTACCAAGGTCAGCCACCAGGAGGCCCATATTTGACCTTGACCTTTGGCTTCCTATAAGACCTACCAGCATACCAAATATCATTACAATCCATTAAGTTATGCTGACTACAAATGTGCGGAAACACACACACACACATACACACACACACACACAGACGCGCCAAAAACAATACCTCCATTTTTCATGGAGGTAATAAACAAAATGTGATATACAAAAGTGTGAATTAGTCTTACCAGAATGACTGTCTCTTTGACCCTCAGCCATGGCTTAGTGAATGGGTTACATTGCAACACATGGGGAGCCATCAGAGGAGAACCTTCAACAGAAATAAGATTTTTGGAGTTCATCCTCTCCTTCAGCTTTCTACCTATGACTATGACTAGCCTTCCAGGAGAGGACACAAGTACATAAAACAGATAGAATTACGTCTACGTACAGCTAACATAAAATTACATTACAATTATTACAAATAAGGCCACAGCAAGTAAATTTTATGGATGACATCCTCCACAGACTCCAAATCTAATGCAAGCGGGCGGAAAAAAAAGCAAGGCGGGCCAAAAAAACAAGGTTCCTACATTTTAAAATTTTGACTAAATCATTGTACACATGAGTTTTTTTCGGTGTTAACATCACATATACACAGGCAGCATCACATATCACTGCATCAAAGTAAGAAACAAAACATAAAATCAGAGCCTTTTCTTGTCTCCTCTCTCCATAGTACACAGACATCTTTGCCCATTTTCGGCATGTTGACCACTGTCAGAAGGCAACATAATTTCTTTTTTTCTTTTTTTTTTCAAAATCAGGCAAAAATTCATGCGTGCATTGATGTCATCCATAAAAATTACTTGCTGTGGCCTAACAAGATATGACAAGATAAGTAATTATATTTACTGGAGCTGATCTTGTCCCCCTTCTTGTAAATGGGCGTGACTTTGGCATGCTTCCATTTTGTCAAGAATTCCCGTGTAGAGTGATTTATTGAAGAGCTTAGTAAGAGACCAGGGCAAGAATTTGTGCCCCCACTTTTATCTAGCAACCTGGTGTCATGTCTAGGCCAGTGGCCTTCTTTGAATAACCTTTGACAGTTGTTCTGTGACAAATTCAACTGTGATTTGTGAGAAGGCGAAAAGTGCTGGTTGTTTTCTTGACAAACTGGACGGGTGAGAAAGGTGAAAGTGGCGCTGAGAGTCATACAAGTCCTCTATGACTTTATGGAAGAAAGTGTTGAGTATCCCAGTCATTCCTTGCTTATCAGAGGTACTCTGGCCCTCATATTCTAGGCAAGTGATAGTGTTTGGTGACTTGCTGGGAAGCAATTTACGAATGGCCTTCCAAATCCCCGTCTGACCCTCCTCAGCCCCCTGGATTATTGATTGAGCAGCATGATCTTTTTTAGCAATCCGGCACAAATAGTTAACTGTTTTTCATTGCCTTGTAGCTAGTTAAGTCCTACTCTCCAAGCAGAGGTTGTGGGGAATGATCGTTACCTTTTTATATATGGCCGTTTTTGTTGTTGTCCTGATCCCCACCAACCCGTCGGTGGCCGGAGACCTTCTCTGGCTAATGGATACTGCCTGGCCAATTTGATAATGTCTTTTGCCACCGAGAGGGATCTGCTTGGAGATTAGTAAAGTCCTTTCTTTTGATTTCCCGTCTGAAAGAAAAATAAAACAGCTGACGTTTGCCGGTGTAGTCTTTTTGCACAACAAATTAAAGCTGTCCTCAGCGCTGCCACGTTAAGAAACCTCCCGTCTCTCTTGTCTAGTTTTCCCTCTTTTTTGATTTTGTTATACCCCAATTAAAACGGGCTCTCTTTGTTCTTCAGCTATAGGTATACTTTGCCTGTCGGCGCGCCAAAAACCCCACCCACCAGCCGGGCGGTAAGATTTCATCTCCCCCATCCCCCCCGTAAATATCGTAAATATGATCGTACAGTCCCTAGGTTGCTTCTAGCCGTGGCCTTTTTATTACATTTCATTACCCTCTTGCCCGAATCAAGAGTCTCAACGGCTAGGTCTAGATAGGGTTAAAGGGAATTTTGTTCGAAATATAAGAACGTTTCTAAGTACATTGTATGTGTTAATGACACTATCGTCCAACAGTCGCAGCGAAAACGTCAGTTTTACTGCAGCCTAGAAAAGCCTTTAGCTGAGGTTTCCTTCTTGACTGATCGGCAAGACCGAAGAAATTTATACCGAGATTACTTATCTTTAGATTTCAAATAGTTTCGGCCGCGGATGGCGATAGAAAAAGGAGATTTTCAGTAGATGGAGAACTGAAAATGCAGGGAAAGATTACAGAGCATCCATCTTTATTTGTTCCCATTGATATGCAAATTGACAAGGAACACAACATATAATTCAATGTGCAGTTACAAACAGTTAAAGCCAATTGAGATATGACCAGACAAAAAGAACCGAACGCAAATACCTGTACAGTGGAGACGGGGGTGGAATGTGTTAACGGGAACTATGAAGACTACTGGCTAAAACTAAACTGCTAACTGTAGACCCTGCCCAAAATAGGACGGCGGAAAGTACCTGGGTTGGAACTTGGGGGAATCCCCGTCTCCCAGGTAACATGAATACACATTACGCCCTATTGTGTCAATTTGAACTCGATGCATCAGGCAAATGCTGGGCTTCGGGAGTCCGCAAGACGCCAGAGGAGGATCAACGATCAGGAAGTGGTTTAAAAGACATGTATCTCTAAACTTTTACAGCAGAAATTCGTAACAACAACAAACTACGAACATACAAATTACTTAAAACCACTTCAAACGAGGAAAACTATTTAAAGGTAACAAACATACGACACAGAATAGCCACTACAAGACTTAGGATTAGCTCACACACACTTCTTGTTAAAAAGGGTAGACACAACCACATTCCTCTGCAACGAAGAATCTGTCATAACTGTAACTTAAATGAGATTGAAGACGAGTCATTTTATTTTGGACTATAATAATGAAAGATTCTCTTCAATTGTATACAAGGTTATTTCCCTAGTTATAGACTTTTAGATAGAAAGCAAAAATTCACTCATGAAACTCGATAACCTTCGTACTATAAGCTCGATCTGTTCTTACGTTTACAACTGTCTTAAGAAGCGAGAAGAAGCAGAACCTGTAACCAGTAACCCAACACCACAAACACACACACACGCACGCACGCACGCGCGCGCGCGCACACACACACACACACACACACACACACACACACACACACACACACACACACACACACACACGTCCCAACCCAAAATATCAATTCCATTCGAATTTTCAACAGTATCAATCACACATTACTGTGTACGTTCTTTCATGCATCATCCAAATTCAAATATGGTCGTTGACTGCAGTACAGCCCCACCTATCATATTGTGTTAAAACTGCAGGACAACAGCCATCTAAGTGTTCCATTTCATAGAAATGTCATTAAGGATAAGGCCGTTCAAGAGATCTGCATTTGACATATCAATAAGTCATACTCAACATATGAATCTAATAACCACATAATGAATTTGAACTTCATTCATTTTCGTAGAACCAAGGAGCTTTCATCAAAATAACATTCTACCTTTATAGAGTATATAACGCGAGTCCACAAAGTAATTATGGTCACATTTCTCTCAAAAAATGAACAGAGCAGGAGTTATAGATGGTTAGATAAAACTTTTCTCCGTAGAAAGCTTTTGTGATGAGAACTGTCCTGGTTATGAGGTGCTGTGCACCTTCCTAAAATCCCCAGTAAAACTGATCTTGGTTGACCCCATTAGGCCGCGGCAAGTAAATTTTATGGATAACATCCTCCACAGATTCCAAATCTAATGCGAGCGGGCGAAAAAAAAACAAGGCGGGCCGAAAAAAAACAAGGTTCTTACATTTTGAAATTTTGACTCAATCGTACAAATGGTTTTGATTCAATGGGAACATCACATATACACCGCCAGCATCACATATCACTGCATCAAAGTAAGAAACAAAGCATAAAATCAGATCCTTGTCTTGTCTCCTCTCTTTATAAATTATAGTTATCTGCCATCCACCTTCCGGCATGGCAACAGACATCTTGGCCTATTTTCGGCATGGTGACCACTGTCAGAAGGCAACAAAATTTTTTTTCCCCCAAAATCAGGCGAAAATTAATGCGCGCATTGATGTCATCCATAAAATTACTTTCTGTGGCCTTACGTATTTCTCAACAGACCAACACACCAGCTGTATAACCACGTGATGGCCTTGCACTTCTGGCTTTTATAGGCCTCATCGTAATGGCAAGTGCTGCTCGTCAGGTAATTGGGTTTATTTCATCTGGTGGTATTCTATTTTAGAACTTCATTGCCTGCTGTAAAATGCGTCGTAAAACCGTGAGTTTACGACCTGTGGGCGTCTTTGTGGTGTCCTGCGTACTTCAGGGGGAGAGAGATAGAAGAGATCGAAGCTTCATCAGGAACGGCCGCATCTTTAATAGGTTTGTCATATTTTTTCAGTGATTGGGTCCGTGTAATCAACGGAAGCAATAAGAAGAAGGAACAGCAATAATGATAGCAATGAGCCCTTTGACTCGAGAAGATTTTGAAGTGGCCTTGAGGTTGTGTTTAATAGAAGGCCACTGCCAAGGTGACGTGAGAAAACTGCAGTGATTTGCTCGTCTTCATTTACTGGCACTGCAAAATCTCTGTGCAGCAAAACAGACATTTTTGCAAAATATTAAGCTAAGGCCATGTTGATTTGATTATATGGATGACATCCTCCGGGAGCCCCAAAACTGATGCGCGCGTGCGAATAAAAAAAAAGTTTTGCAAAAAAAAAGTTCTTTTCATTATGAAATCTACGTGGTCATGAGGGTTGAGCAAATGGCACAGAATATGGATTGGCGAATAATCTAGTCTTCAAGTTCATTTCTTTACAATTTCGTCTTTTTTCGTTTGATTTTGGCATTCTACGACATTGGTATAGTTTTTATTAATTTTTTTGTAACTTATGGTATATTTTTGCTCATTTTGCAACTGTTTTGTACGATTTACAGTATGGTTGAAAACTTTTTTTTTTG